AAATATATATTTTTTTAATACAGGTTGTATCGAAATTGAATCAAGAAAAAGAGGCATCAGCTGTTGATGTTTTGAGGAAACTTGGTTTTCGTGGTGTGTGGAAGGGTCTTGGTCCTCGAATTATTATGATCGGTACTTTAACAGCAGCACAATGGTTCATTTATGATGCAGTAAAAGTATGGCTCCGTATGCCGCGCCCACCACCACCAGAGATGCCAGAATCACTTAAGAAGAAGTACGGACTAGCTTAATTATCAAACATCAATGATATTTTTAATTGAATCAATTACAGTTAGAAAAAAGAACATAGATAAATTACATTATTTCTTCACAGTACATTGTCGAACAATGTTTTGCCATACATTTCAAGTATTTATTCTGTAATACAGATATCAGTGCAGGTCATCACTGCCCCCAAATTAGATATATAATATGGTATGAATTATAGTAATTTGCTACCAGTTCTGTAATTATAAAAGAGGTGGCACATTTATAAAAATCTGATAGTGACAGTAAGTTACCTATTGTAACCAAAAACTGTTACTTTGTATATAGAGTGATCACTGTAAATAAATAATCTGTGATTGCTCAATTAATTTATAGTCTTGGTTGCCCTTTCCCTTATATACTACAGTTTGTAGAAGTATTAGTTACATGTATACTTTATTAAAATCTTTCAAATATAACCTATGTATTTTATGATTATATACAAGGTTTATATAAACATAAGTACATTTATAGAAAAAATATAGTATAATATACTTAATGTAATTTGTTGCATTCTGAATTTATAAATTGTACTTACAATTGTACATGCATGCACATGCGCGCACGCACATATTCATACACACTTGCATAGTTATGCTGTGAAAGAGTAAGCAAAAAAATACATTTTATTTTATCTTCTAGAAGTGACTGTTTTTCTTGTTCTAAATAGAATATATAATATTTTAGTTCTATTTTAATAATTTCATCTCTTAATCTCACTAGATCTGTTAAGTCAATAAATTTTTTATAAGATACATTTAGCATTTATGTAGTTACATAAAAATTTGAATACAGCCATTTACAAAATTAAAATATATATGCTTATAAATTGTTAATAAGTAAGTACTAATTCTTCAGTAACAAGGTTTTACTATTTGCTTATTTTATATACAAAGATTGAAGAATTTTTTAAATATACGTATATATATAGTCGATATTAAAAATATTGTTTAACATGTTTTTTTGAGATAATAAGTACGCAGTATAAAAATGAATGTAATAGAACTAAAAATAATTTTGAATATACTTTTTCTTACAATGTTTGCAAAATCAATTTGAATTTTGTTTAATATTATAGTATTATAATATAATATTATATAATAGCGCACGCTTAACTGTCGCATATCTTGCATGCATGGCGCGGTGTTATCTTTATCAATTATTATTTCTACTGTGTTCCATTAACTTATAGATGATTCGAACAATATGATACATTTGTAAATTTTTGTATAAGCGACTACCTGATTAATACCAAAATGACATCACTAATATTGTCGATACTCAGAATTATTTGCAATTTGTAACTATAGCAGTAAAATAAAAAACTTGTTCATTAACTTTGAATTTCATCTTCATTCGTGAATTTTGTTTAACATATCAAATATTTAAAAGAACTTGAACTTTTCGTGAACTATTGTCACTAATATTCAGCAATTAATTGACGCTCTATTGTTTTATCCCCTAAACTGTTTCGAAAATTGTAATACTTGTACTTTTACACTTTACTAATTTTTTGAGTGCACTATATTGTTCAAAATAACCATAATATAATTTGTAATTTGTAAGTATGATGAATTGCATATATTATCTTGAATACAGTTCTCTTTCTAAATACGTTTTGGCATCCTGTATAGTTGCAAAAATCTTAAATGTAAGTGCTCCATGTAAATATAAATCACATTTTTTGATAGTTTCGAAAATGGGACTAGTACAACTTACAAGATAAAAGTGTATATCAATTTGTTGAAATTCTTTCATTACTGAATTTAGTGTAATGACGCCGCTAGAGTCTATATAACTTAATGAACTCATATCCATTATTACACATTGTAATTCTTGTTTGTCTTCCGACTCTTCTGTATCCATATAAATTCCCTTTTCTCTTAACTTTGTTTTATGTTCTATAATTTTTTTTGGATTTATTCCAATTAATTTATACAATTCCGATTTGAAATGGCTAGTATTTGCAAAATTTAATGTTCCACAGTAATGAAAAATTTTGATGCCAGGGATTTCTATTGCCTGAAAATAATTCAAATATATTAATTGCAAGCTGGTCTTCTTATTTAAAAAATATTATTAATTATACAGAAATAATATACCGCTTTAAATCTACTCATATCTAAGTACAAATCTGTATTTGGTATGTGTCCCAATAAACAAATATATGGTCTAAGACTTTGCAATAAAATGATTGCAAGTGATATTATTATTCCAGCTAGCAAACCAATATCAATATTTACTATTATGACTGTCAAGAATGTTGATATCCAAATTAGTGCATCACATTTACTTAATTTCCAGAATTTTATAAGCTGGCTGGCTTGCTGAAACATTCCTTTTAAAGCTACCTAAAGATAAAAGTTAATATAATATTATAATGTATTATATATGTTTCAATACTTATCAAGATTTCTTTAATAACTTTCATTTCAACTTTTATACTTACAACGATAATTGATGCAAGAACAGATCTTGGTAAAGGTTCAAAAAATGGGCCAACCCACAAAAGGATTGTAAGTAATATTATACATGATACAACACTAGCTATTTGTGTTCGACCACCAACAGTTTGTTGAATTAAAGATCTACTTAAGGATGCTGATACTGGCATACATAGAAAGAAAGATCCAACTATATTACTCAAACCCTAAAATTATAATTTATATACATATGTATGTGCATATAATGTTAATTAATGTTTTTTAAAACAATATTAAAAAATTGTGCTCTGTTTAACATACCATAGCAAGAAGTTCTTGATTCGAATTAATTTTGTAATTAAACTTTTGTGCAAATATTAGAGCCATTGATATGGTAATGGTATAAGAAACCATAGTTATAGCAATACTATCTGTTGCTACTAGATGTAACAAATCAAATGTTGGAACTGTTGGAGCTGGTAATCTGTTAATTCAAAAAATTAGAAAACCTCAATTATATTCACAAAACAGAATGAAATTAAAAGTTTACATACCCTGTAGGAATATCACCCACAACTTGAATGTTATATTTGTCAGAAAAACAAAGATATTTTGAAATTAAAGTTCCACTCACAACTGCAATTAGTTCGATTGGAATTGGAATACTGCACTTTTTACTTACCCATGGCTAGTAATGAAAGAATAATAGAATTATATTGTTTATAGATATTGTAATAAAACCACATTAATTACTAAAAATTACCTTTAAAAATTCATTATTACATACAAGACTAGCAACTGTTATCAATGATATAAGAACAGCAGTTAAATTTGTATTTTGTATTTCTTTAAAAATATCTACCAATGTCTGAAATAATTGTATCATTTAATTTCTGTATCTCTAATTAAATTACTTTTAAAAAAGATATGTCATATTTTATACATACAAAAATAAACTTAAAATATCCTTTTTGTCTTGGTACTTTCAAGCCTAATAGGTCTTTAATTTGGGATATTAAAACACAAACTGCTGCACCAGTTGTAAAACTATTCACTAATGGATCACTGAGCAATGTGCTTATAATACCCAAATGAAATATATACATTATGATCTAAAAATATAATCATTATTTTGCTGTCACAAGATATAAAATGAATATATGAAAAATTACCTGAAATATTCCAACCATGAGTGTGACTGCTGTTGCTACTTGCATTGGTGTATATAAATATTCCATAGGTAAATTAGATAATGTAGTTGTAGCATTTGGACTTGCAATTTCATTGTGTGGTACTGAATAAGATGCCACTGTTTTCCCAGTCATCAAGCAAACCACAGCGAATGTCCCTGATGAGTGGCAATAATGTTTCATTGTTCTAGCTTGTCTAATAAGTTGTTATTAAAAGGAGTTATTTGTAACATTTCTGTAATAGAAGTAGTATTTTTACAAAGTTTGTGTACATCAAATGTAAAACACTAAAGAGATCTTCATCTTGATGAAATATTGAATGCTTTCTCCTGTTTTGCTATACTTCTAAAATATAATATAACTTTTTTCTTACCCATAGACACATGCCTAGATGTGCCAAAGAAAAAGTATACTAAAACAGGAAAAAATGCCATATATATTCCAACTACTGGTGGTACATTTCCCAAAAGTGCATAAGCCATGCCTTGAGGAATATGCATAATTGCTACAGTTAAGCCAGAAATTATATCAGACATTATACTTTCTTTCCAGTTATAATCTCTTAGCCAATGTATTGATGGAATTGCAGATATAAAACATGATCTCCAGTTTTTATGTTTTAAATCACTTATTACATCTTGAAAATCTATAAAAAATTGACATTTTGCATGTGTTGCTTAAATTAATATTAATTAAATTTTGTTTCTTACATACCAAATGTTCTGGGCTTTTCATAATGATAATCCTCATTTAAAGTTTCTTGTTCATACACAGGTCTTTCTAAATGTACTTGTAACAATGCATCATGCTTCTCCATATTGATAATAATTTAAAAATTAATTATTGAACTTTGCTCAATAAAAAATACTTAAAATTTGATCTCTTATCTATTTTACTTTACTCTCAGATATGTATGTAGGTCTGTAACAAACAACAAATAATGTTAATATTTTAATTATAAATATATTAAATTTGTATATTGTTAAACCAAAATATTAAAAATTGTTATAGTTATTAACTAAAATACAAAATATATTTATATTTAAAAAAAAGATAAAGAGAACCTTTATTAGATAAATATCAGATAAAAATTTCTGTTATATAATTATTCATGAAAAAAAATAATTTCTCATATTATTGGTAGTAATATAATACCATATTCAATAGTTAATGATCTAATCATTTAAACTTACAATATTTGAAAATTATAAAAAAATTTATAGTTAATTCTATCACATGTATTTAAATTTAATAAATTAATTTTCAATTAATATCGAAAATGTCTTTTTAATGATTACTTAATATTATATATATTTTATATTTTTGTTTACCTTACTTTCTGCTATCTTCAATATTTTCTACTTATTTATAAAAGAATTAAGAAATCAGAATTTTAGAGCAATTGCAAGAATTACACCTTTATACTTTATTACAAAACGAACACTGATTTAACTAATACGATGAGTATTGCGCATATGCATACGCACTATGTCGAATCACTTCATACTTATCATGTGACAGAACTAAATATATATGGTGGAACAAACATATTAACATCAGTTGGTATATACGTAACCATGTATTTGTGGATTTATGACATTCGAAAAAATATTTATCATTTTAAAACATTTAATTTTATACATACACATTTAATTTAGTTATAATCAATGAAAGGAGAATAATTAAAAACCATATAAATATCAAAACATTAGCGTTAGTTATTTCTCTTATTTTAATATGATTTTCATACAAGTTCTAATTAAAAAAATTATTTTTACCCGTTTTTTTTTGTGTTAATAATTCTTGAGACATTTGTATGAAAATTCGATTTATAAATTTTAGCTTTCCTTACTCTTACAATATTTTGTACCTGCGTACATTACATAAGTATAATTACATGAAAATTACAATAAAATAAGTATATATTAAAACACTACTAATAACAATTGTATCTACAATGTAAATACCTAGTATACAATAAAAATGAAGTATATTTATATATACATATTCTATTTTAAACACACTTATGTATGTTATACTTTTCTATAAAGTATATATCTGAATTTTTATGAAGATACGTAGATACATGAATATTTCGAACATTACACGATTTATATATTTATTAAATTAATATTTCCTATGCAATCATCTATAGCAAAAAAAAAAATGATACATAAATATCTTTATGTTATGCGTAATTCTCTATGATATTTCAGTTTCGTTTTATTTTAAGAAACTATTATTTTATTATGATACTTTTTCTGACAGTTATTGAGTGGTAGTTCAAAAATGCAGATCAAGCCGTTTCATCGTTACTTCCACTAAGTATACGCGTGTTATGATAATTCCGTTTCGTTCCATATCCTCCTGAATGTTGAGTTTCGTACATTTTTCGATTTTCTAGATAACGACGATAATTATTTTCACGCTTTCTTCGTTGTTCTTCTGCTTGTTGCCTTAACTTTTCAGGGTTCATGTGTGTCGTCACCATATGCCTCGTCAACGAGCTCATAAATTTATAGGTGATGCCACATACGTCACATGAAAGTATTTCTTCATTTGCCCCTTGCTAAAATTTACAAATAAGAGGGGTACCATACATTATGATTAAATCATGTTTACAAAAGGTTGAAAATTAAATTCCTTTTCTTATTTTAAGTTGGTATTATATAATTTCCTTCATTTTACATAGTACGTACAAGTTGCAGAAAATATGAGAGAAGTGACAAGAAGTATATGAAAACATTTTTTTTTCTTACGAGACCCGAACGATTTATACACTAAGATCGTATTGATCATACGTACTTGTTGATGTACCATCATATGTCTCTGCAAATTGTTCAATCTGTTGAACTCTCGACCACAAACCTCACAGTCAAATTTCTTATCAGGATCATGATACTTTTTATGTAGACTCAGATCAGTTGCATGTAAGAATGACTTATGACATACATCGCATGTGTGGGTCCGCTGATCACCAGCCAAATGCGACTGCTCGTGTTTGACCAGACTAGCTTTATCTACGAAGCGACGACCACAGTAAATGCACGGAAGAGGTCGAGATTGTGAATTATGAAGCGTCAAGTGACGACGTAGAGCGGTAGATGTTGGAAAGTTTTTATGACACTCGAGGCACTGAAATGGTCGGTCACCAGTATGAGTTTTTCTGTGACGGGCTAAAGAATTTTGATCTGGATACCTGAAATGTAAATAAAAAAATTAGTTTTAAAATTAAGAATACAAAGATATAATAATGGACAAATGTATGTAAAATATTACCTTTTAGGACACAAATCACATGGGAAATTTCTTGTTGTAATATCTTCTTCACGAGCATGTTTCAATCTATTGTGTCGAAGTAATTGGAACGATGTTTTAAAGCTTTTATTACAAATATCACATTTTAAGTTATCTGTTGTTGGTATAATAACTTGAGTTCTTTTTTGTCCGTGTTCATCCTCGGATATTATCAGGGAAATAGTCACGGTATTATCTTCATTATCGAGATCAACAGGAGATACCACAGAACTCTAAAAAATAACACAGACAAAAGTAAGAAAATGCTTTTAACGTACATTTTTTAAAGAAATTTTTAAAAATACCTGTTTATTAATATGTGTAGATTTGAGTTCATGATCTGGCATAGAGTAAGATTCTTCTTCTACTTGTCTGGCATTCGGTTGAGATTTAATTTGTGATTCCTTGCCTTCATAATCATCACTGTTCTCTGCAATAGCGTAATGACCATCTTCAGTTAAATATACTGGCTGTAACGTACCAGTTTCATCTTTAAAGTATAATTGACCGTCTTCATCTTCATGTAGAAATATTTGGTCCTAAAATTTTAAATGAATAAAGATTTATTTAATTTGATAAATTAAAAAAAAGAAAGTAAAAGGTAAGTTTAAACATCCAATTTTTAATAAATACCTGAGAATTTTCCTTTTCTTGATTTTGATTAGTATCTGAGTTAGTTGTTTCCCACGTTTGCTCTTCATTTTCTATTGGTGTGGCATCATAAGAATACTGTTCATTATCATCCACTGTCTGTGCAACATACAATGTTTCTATGTTATCTGCTTCATAATAAATTGTTCCACCAATTGGTATAGTATTTTCATCAAGTTGTTCCATCTAAAAATAAAAATGTTACTTTTACAAATGATAATAATTATAACGAAATAATTTAATAATACAAACCTTAATATAATGGGCATCTGAAAATTTATCTGCTTGTAATGTTTTCATCGAATTTTGCTTCTTTGTACCAAGAACTGTATACAATAGATTATTTTCAACATTCTTCACAATTTCATGACTTACAGTGTTATCAATAGTTTCATCATTATTCACATTATTTTTAAACTCGTGATTTGATTTAGATTTTTCTGCTTTATCCAAAGATTCTACATTGTCTCTAGAATCTGATCTATTTGCTTGTAATGGTAAGGAAATTACTTGATTATTTACATACTTTTTATCACCACCTAATATTCTTTGTCCTTGCAAAGATTCTGTGCAATGATTTAGTATATTAGATCCATCTTCAAATTTTAATTCATACTCTTCTTCTTCTTCTTCCATATCTTCATCTTGCCAATCCTCATCTACATCATATGCTACAACTTGTTTGTTATTACTTTTATGATACTGATCTCTTTTTTCCTGTTCTTTTTCACAATGTGTCTTGAAAACTGAATTATCTTCATCAAAAGCATAAACTTCCATTTCTGTCTTAATTTTTGTATTTTTATTTTCAGTGAATGTAACATCTTCTTGTGATGATTCTTCTTTGTCCTCTTCTATTTCTTCTATTATTTCTATGATTTCTTCTATTTCTGTTTCAACAGAATCCTCTGCAGTTTCTGATACTACTATAATATTTTCTTCTGTGATAGCATGCTTTAATACCTCTATCACATCTTTGTCATTATTAATATCTATCGTATCCAATATCTCATGTGATAATTCCATAATAGGATTTGACAAAATATTGATGTCCAAAAAGTGGCGCTTAAAAAACATAAACCATTTATATTTATTATACATATTATAATATAAGAAATCTTAAAATAATATGTTTAAATATTATTTTATCATTTTCACATACATATATTATAACTATGTCATAATATAATAATACAAAGAAAAAGAACTTTTCAACATATAATTTGCGATAATAACTCAATAAAATTTTATACTGAAAAAATTGACTGTTTAATAATGTAAAAATAATAATACAATCGATAACTCTTAAAATGCATTTCTTAGTTCTTCAATATATATTTATTATTGTTTTATATATAATTATCAACATATATTAAATAATGTGGCATTTAATTTATATTTTTTAACAATTAGGATGTACTTCTTTAAGAAATATCTAAATATATAATCTTATACATTACAAAAATATTTTATTATTCATTATTTTTAAAAGTTATGTTCATAAATTTTGTGTAAATATGAATAACGTAAATATTTGTATACCAAACATATTTTTTTAGTCATATAACGAAATAATATAAAAACAATCAAATATTACAGAAAAATTATAGTGTTATTATCCTCATCTATTCGTTTTTAAATTGATTTATACAGATATTTGAAAATTTTATATTATATGTATATTATGAACATACTTGTTAGATGCATAACATTATTTAATGTAATATTACATTTCAAAAGATAGAATCTGCACAAGAAGAAGATTGTTTAAAGCCTTGGAATAGACATTAGCATTTTATATATGACAAGAGGTACGCGGTTCACCAGTCGGTACGAAAATGTCTTGCATTTATCAACGGATAGCAAAATGGCTACAAAACGGCAGTGATATCCCTTTGAAAAAGTACATACTAATATGTTAAAATGTTAAAAATCTTATTTAAGAAATGAATAAATATGATTACAGTTTTATTCACTCTACCTGTGCTAAATAGTTGAAATGTGTAAGCGATATAGGAAAAAAGTTGTTTTTGCTCGGTCGATACGCGCCAATATAATATTTCTCTCTATACTTCCCCAGTAAGCAAGTGACGCCACCTTAAACATCATAAAGATGCATCTTTATCTTTACCAAAATAGGTTGCGCCAGTTGCATTCGTAAATAGGTTGACCTAAACATTACAAACAAGAATTATCTTTTCATTGGTTGATTGCTTCTAATAGATACATTTTAAATTTTATTTAAACTTCATGAATTATTTAAAAGTATTCATCTTATTTAATTTATTATTATATTTTATACCATGGTATATTGTTATAAACAATTTTCTTATAGATTTCTGTGAAAAATTACTATATAAAAAATGCTTCTTAAAAGAACTTACATTTTGTGAAAACATTTAAAATATTTTATGTAAGAAAAAAAATTTTAATTCATGAAAAATATTTATAATTTTCTATATAAATGACGTAATGTTGAATGGTAAAAAGAAATAATACTCGATATGTAAATTTTATTCAATATACTTATGATATTATATTTATATTCGATATTATAAGTTATATTCAATCTGTAGATTAGAAAGAACCTTATGTTCTAAAATAGGACATATGTAAATACTTGTGCGAAGCAGGTATTTTGTAGAAATATATATAAAGCCAGATCTTTTGGCAATATTCTGTTAATATTATACTAAATTTACTGTTTATTTATTTTTATTTTTTTTTATTTTATTTTTATTTTATATCAAAATTTCACAAATTAGAAATTAAATTAAAGTATAATATACATATATATATTTCAAATATCGATTTGAATAATTAACTTTAATAATATAAACAAATGAAAATTTAATATAGTAAAAGCAAAAAATAATTTAGTCGTTAATAATAAATAATATAATATTTTTCCAGGGTATTAATTTTATGTGAAATAATTCATTTATTAAGTTTCAAAATTAAGAAAATATCTAAATAATAATAATAATATAAATATCGACTGTAAACATTAAATAGAAACTTGTATATTGTATATATGGTATAAGAATGCAAAAGAGAACGATATTTTTGTAATAAATTATAAATTTGTTTAATAAATATAGATGATGCATAAATGTAAATATACACAATACACATGCACGCACACAATAAGTATAGTGTTTATTAGTCTACTATCGAAGAGGTTACTTGTTTTATCGTTTGACCATATTTATTTTTTATCGTCAAAAATGTGGTTTTATTTACTGCTTGCTAATTTTGCAACATTTCATTTTGTCATGGCTTCGTCTAATTTTGATTTTGAAGATACTTTAGTATTAATTCTCGGGTTGATTATTGGAATTATTGGATTCTTTGCTTGCATTGGTGTTTTCGCACGTCATCGAAATCGTATGGATCCAATATAAGTACTCGAAAATTCAACTAATAGTAAGTATATCATCAATAATTATGTTGTCATAAGTTATGCATAATTATTATTTCAAAAATTATTATTTAGATTCTAATTTATAGATAAATAGAGAAGTTATAATATTCTTTTTATATTTATGTTGTGGAACTTATAAATTAATAATGTTATAATTTTTATAATAAAATTATAAAAGACATGTGACCTTATTTTTTAATAAAAATAAAGGAGTAATAATACCATATATTATTCTTTCTAAATATAGTTTTCATAACTAATAATAAATTTTATGATAAATCATATTTGTAATCCTACATATTAAAATATTTTAAATCTACTAAAACTGTCTTTGATCTTTTGATGTTTTATGTAATAAATTATTTTATTTGAATTATACTGCCTGATCAGTAACTTATTTCATTTAAATTGCAGGCTATTCAATAGAATAAAAGAAGACATCATACAACTATTTTATATATTTTTGATAATATTAACATAAAATTATTATAAAAGTTACTTCTTAACTCTATATCAAGTATTAAGAGTTTTTGATAACTACAGCGATTTTTATAATTGTGAATTATATTTATGACTGTAGGTTACTTTTATATATTATTAGTGTAAGATAATTATCAAATAAATGTAAATAAAAATGTAGTGGTCCATAGATAAATATGAAAGTAACTATTTATTAGCTACATATTATTTTTTAATTTTTTTTAGCCTTTGTAATAAGCGATTTAAATGATTTTAATAGAATTCATAAAAAAAATTTGAATGCATTTATAATTTAGTATGTTTAAAAATTATGTAACATAAAAAATTATTGTTTAAAAATATAGTACATGCAATGTTAATTAAAAAGGTTATATATTGTCGTCTACATAATATATTCATAAATTTCACAAATATACAATGTATTAATTAACATCATAAACTACATCTTGATGCAATTATCTTTCAAGTAAGGAATGGAAGATAATATTATTCTGAGCACAGTTGCTAAATTATTCCAAATTCTTCTGTATTAATTAATTGAAGTCGCAAAGTAGTCCATATCAACAGAATTTCTATATATCTCTATAAATTACAACTTCTTCCCATAAAAGTGAAGGTTTAAAATTGATTTTCTTATCTTTTGCAATTTGTTGAATGCTGATGCATATCTAATCAGTCTTTACAAAATTTCTTATAGAATTTCACACAACATAGCTTACATAAGTTTTAAAGCATATATGAACTTATATACTAGTTAGCACAGGAAAGCTCTTTGATTATTTTTGTCTAAACATTTTTCATATTTTTCATTTTTATTACAAGCAAGATAATTGAACACTAATACAAGATAGAAAGTAATTAAATCTTTTTGTAATAGTTACATACAATTCTCTTAAAAAGCTTTTTTTTGTGTGCTCTAATCAATGAGCTTTAAATTTTTGTATATAATAATTTTAAATGTAATCTGTAAATAAATCTAATTAATTATATTACCCAAGATAAAGTTTTGCATGTTTATATCTGAAATCAGAAAAGCATGTTTTGACATACAAATTAAAAGAATTCGTTAGAATTTTAAGAAATTTGTTCAAAAAAAGAATTTGTAACAGTTTGTACAATTTATAGCTGTGTAACATAATGTTGTAACACAAGAAACATCTACATATTTTTTACATTTGCATTTCTAAAATATCGGATGATATATTTGTATGTTTAAAACAATATGATTATACAGTACATACAATGTATATATAAATCAACAAATTATCTGTGTAGACACACACACACTCGCGCGCGCGCGCGCGCATACACGCACACACACACTATATATATGCGCGCGCATATATGTAATATACACATATACATATGTATGCGTGTGCGTGTATATTTGCAGTTATGTGAATCTATTAAATAAATTAAATAATTTTAATAAATTAGTTCATAAAATTCTGATCCATCAATATGTACTAAGATTTTATGTGAGAATTTTTTAAATGTAGCAAAATATGTTTTACTTGTTTTTTGTCACATTTTCTGAAAAATATATCATAACACCTAAGTTTGAATGTACTAAGTTCAATTCCATTAAGTTAGATGCCATATTGGTAGAAAAGAATTATGATGAATTCATATTGTGATTTTTCTCGTATGTAACAGTGCTGTTTGGTATTCTTTGGTAAAACAACAAAAATGTTTTACAAAAAATTACTCCAATTATATCATTATCATAATACTACATATAGTTAAAATCACATTGTATTTGATATATTTGGAAGGAAGTAGTCCGTTGCAATGTTTTTAATGAAATAATATTCATTTCTATTGTCTTATTTCATTCATTTTGTCACATTCAGTGAATAAGATTGTAAAATTAAAATTTGTATCAAAGTATATTACTGTAAATTATTACATTTAAAGATAGTTTATTTTAGAAATTTCATATACTCAGCTTTTATTAACAAACAGAAGCTGCATTTTTATCGAAAGCCAATCCACCTAACAGTAAATGAATAGTATGTACATTAAGTATTACATGTTATGCATTTTCTTTGAGTATTATTTAATAAATTTATTTAAAAGTAACTATATAAGAGTAATTGCAATGTATTTCCATAAGAAATACGTACAATTATCTATATTATAATGTTTCGTTCAGCAGCCACATGAATTTATTACCAGGTGGATCAACTAAATTTAAGGTTTGACAATTATTTTTCTTTTTTGAGTAAATTTGAAGACAAAGTAACAAAATTGTAATGTATAAAACGTAAAACTAAAATGTGTATGAAAGAACTGAGTGAAATTTAATATAATTATGAGAAAACAGCAATGATTTAAAAATTGTAAGATAGTACATCATATTCAATTTCAAAATAGTTTTCAAAATTCTAATACTGATAATAATAAATTCATGCTGAAAGCAGTAGTAACTCGCAACATTAAAAGCGACGCAAACTGCAATTATTTGAACGAAATAAAGACAACATTATAATCACCAATAAACAGTAATAATATTTATAGTTATATAAACAAGCTATTCTTAATTATATTGCAAAATGCAATATATGATAGCACAGATGAAAATTTAAAATATATTTCTTGGGATTTAACACAAGTATTAAATTATTTTATTTTTAATATTGTTAAAATATGTATGAATTTCATACCTATGTCATGTTTCTATTGAGCTTTATTTTTTTCTTATTAGACTGAATATCTAGAATTTTCTAGCTTTATTTTTTCAGGATATGATTTAATTATCACAAATTATAGTGTTAAATAACAAAGATTCCTAAAATATTTAAAGGAATGAATTGTGCAAATGTATTTCAGAACATATCGTAAATGAAATGCCAATTAAAGTGAAATAAACTTTGATAAATTAAATATGTAATAATAAAAATATTGACAATCGAGTCTAAAAAAGATAATAGTTGATGTAATATTATATAAGATACATGGGACTGCTAACTAGTAACACATGACTTGTTTTTTAATTGAAGTAGGTAAAATCGCTAGAAATACATTAAAGCATAACAGTGACTATATTAATCATATTTCTTCTCTGCTTGACTTCAGCAATCGCATACATGCACGCACAACATACATTCTCTCTTTAAAGCATTCAGTATACATTAACAGTTATACATATACATCGAGCAGAATGGCTGTACACCATATCATTTATAAGACTAGCTGAGGCCTGTACTAATGTGGACTGTGCTATCAATGAATTGAGAGCATAAAAGGTCTTTTAATAAGCATTTTCACTAAAGAAGAATATTTACTACAATAAGGTATAAGCACAGTACATGTAAAGGCCTCTATCCTCAATTTCAATATCTTATTTCTTTTTCTTCCTTTTTTTCTTTCATCCAGAAACTTAATTCATTCATTTAAAATATTCTCTGTGTACGAATCGAGTGTTTTATTTATGTTGTGAGGCACATATCAAATGATTAATATTATGCTCACACGTAGACAACGAGAATATTTTAGCAATTACATACGGATGTTACAATAACGAATACATTCTAAATACTTTCATTCGTGCTTCCCCGCATACATATCCACGAGGACGAGGGTAGCAATACATATTAGCAAAACTATAATAGAATAACAATTGTAATAATGCATGATTCTCATACTAGTGGATAAAGGGCAACAAGTTTAAATAAAGAATGTATTACGGAAATGAATAAATTGGAAAATATAGACCATAACTTGCTGAAGATTACGTTATTGATCGATGTGAGAAGGAGGAGCTGTTGAATTGTCAACATTTGCAGCGTGCAAAGGTTCTGCTGGCGGTGTACCGTCATGAGAATTGCCTACATGTGGTGTAGCTGGTGTAGCTGGCTGAGACTGAGATGTTCCACTAGACGGAGCATATATTAGTCGATAGCCAGCTGGTAAGAAGAAACCCCCATGTGGTGTACAGCTAAATGTTTGAAAATTTGGTAATGTTTGATTTTCGTGATACTGGATGTAACCACTTCCTGCTG